TATTTCATTGATTTATCTCCATTAATAAACAAAAATATGTGTATGTGGTATGTGCGTGCGTGCGTTTGTTTCGAGGAGTACTTAATTTGTAAATAATAATATTTTCGAAAATAATTTTTCGAGATTGTCGATAATATTTGTCAATAGAAGAAAAAAAAATGGAGAGAAAAAAATAAATAAAAAAAAAAGAAAAAAAAAAAAAAAAGAAAAAAAAAGTAAAAAACGTTCAAAGTACATAAGTGGAAAATCCATTCGTATCGTAAAATCCATACGTAAATTTTTATAAAACGTGGACGGCGCAGCTATTCCTGTATATTCGTCGTATCATACCAACTGCGTCGTAAAATTTTCAGATAAATCAGGGATTGCCGGTAAGTGCGTTTGACACTGTTTGACGTCAGTAGAATGGTACAAGCTTCAGAGGCAGACGTAATGCCGAAGGGATAACCTGAACGGATTGGCAGCTAATCAAATAGAATAGGACGTAGGGAATGTGGGAAGATGGCATGGGTACGCCTAAGGGGGAGAAAAGGGAAGGGAGAAGATGGGTAAGGGGGGTAGACGATGGATAGGAGATTTATTGTAGGTAAATACAATTAGCTTTTACGAACACTCACAAGTAACCTCTGACATTGGACTGACGGTAACCCAACTAAAAGTAGTCCGACTTAACTAAATAACTCGATTAGAGTCACCTTCTACCAAGCGATAGTAGAGCCTTTCTTTGTTCTCGCCCATTGTTCCTTTTCTTCGTTCACTTTTATCTTTCCATCGATCTTCGACTTCTATCTCTTCATTTTTTTTTTTCACGATAAGTAAGTAAATCGATCGTTGAAAGAGCAAGTAAAAGTTATGGAACATATAAGTATGTATACTTATCAACGTGATATATACTTATCAACATGTATATATATATATATATATATATATATATATTTATCAATATGATTGTTATACGAGGAACAACGTAATAAAAGGAAAAGGATAAAAATAAACTAAAAACTTTATTAATCTTTTACCTTTTCCTTTTCTTTTTTTTTCTTTTTGTTTTTTTTTTTTATTTCTTTTCTTTTTCTTTCTTTTATATTATCCATTTGTATATCCATAAGATTTTTAATTAATAGACTTTTTCTATTTACAATCGATCGTTATCTCATAAAGTATTCAAAGTGCGAAGCGTTTTACTGCCCTCTAAGAAATTCGAAGTTTTATTTGAAAAGACGAAAGAAGTACGGTGGTCTCATACAATATTAAAAAAGAGGGATGGTACGTCGATGGAGGTCAGTTTTCGCTAAGTACCAAGTTCTTCCTCGCGCTCACCCAAGCGGCTCCGGAAACTTCGTATATCGATTCTCGTCTATTCCATGAAAGTCTTTCCTTCGACGTGCTTGCTTTCTAAACAGCTCTCGAACGGAACAAACGATCCTTTTTTCTTTCGATTTTCAATCGATACCCGACCGATCTTTCGAAAGAATATCGTGGCTGTGCTTTATCTTTTTTTTTCTTTTTTCTTCTTTTTTCTTTTTTTTTCACAAGACGATTTCTCGAAAAGAACGAGATACAACTTGCCTCGTTTTCTCTTTACTTCTCATACATACATACATATATTATCTGTATACCTCCCTCTCTCTCTTTCTCTTTCTTTAACTTTCATGTTCTTTATATTCTTCCTATACAACCTTCCTTCTTGATCCTATTTATTTAAAAGAGAACATTTCTTGTTTACGAGCCTTCTCGAAAATAATTTTCACAAAAGCCTATACAATTTTTACCTATCTCCAGCAAACCGTCATTTCGAAAGATCGATTCGATCGTGACTAGCGAAGGAATGATATTTTTCCAATGTTTCAAGCCGTCTCTTTGACGTTGACGAATTTTTGTCGAACCATTTTTTCCTGCTTCATCCCCGTTCCCCGCCAAATCCCGCTCATTCCATCCCTTCATCGTATCCCTCTTCTCTAAAACGAAATAGGAACGAGAAGTAAATGGGAGAGGTAATAAAACGTTTTTTAACATTTCAGATCGAGGATATGTAAAATAATGAGAATAAGCTGCGATAAATCGTAGAGGGATACATCTACCCCTATCTGTTCGTATATCATCTTTAAACATTCGTAAATCTTTTGGAACGCGTGGGCCACATGAGATTTTCTCGTAAATATCGTGACCACCGCTTTTGGATATATAAGTACATACATAGATAAATACATACATACTTATATACGTATACATATATACACATATATATATATATATATGTGTGTGTATGTATATGTATGTATACACACGCGAAAAACGAGATGATATTTATCGTAATTTCCTTTGTGCTTTTTTCCTCTAGCCAAATAACTATGGTTACAAAAAAAAAAAAAAAAAAAAAGAAAATAAAAAAGGAAAAAAAAAGAAAGAAAGAAAAAAAAAACACACACACACACACAAAAAAGAAAAACAATGGAGAAGAGTAACCACGACAAAATATGTTTGCTCGAACGTGTTTCAG